CCAGCTCGCTCAGGCCCGGACGCCTGGGTGCCGCTCACCCTCCATGTCCGCGATGGTGGCTTCGTATTTGAGCCGCAGCTTGCTGAGGCTCTTGATCTTCTCCTCCTCCTCCGCCGCCTGGGAGGAGAACTCGGCCAGGCGCTCCTCCAACAGCCGCCGCTCCTGGGGTGATGGACGCGAGGGCGGTGAGGCGCCGGGCAGGAGCGGTGCCAACCTCCCGTGGCTTCTCCGCCCTTCAGCTGTGTCCCCAGCACCTTAACCCTAACCCTGCTGCCACTCCCACGCCCTGGGGCCCTGCGATCCACGGAGCCCCTCTGCACAGAGGCTAACTTCTGACACCGCCCGTCTCCCCTAGTGCTGGGCTTACAGGCGTGTGTGCTGCCACACCCTGCATATGTATATATTTTACATGAACCCAGGGCCTTTGCACTGAGCTACACTGCTGGCTTTGTTTGGTACCGGGGATCGAACTCTGGACCTTGCTCTTGTGAGGCAGGCGGCGGCACCACTGAGCTAAATCCCCAGCCCCATCGCGGGCTCTTGTACAAACTGTTTTGAGACGAAGAGGCTAAACTGCCCAGGCTGTGCTTAACCTCGGGATGCTCCTGCCTCAGCCTCCTCTGTGAGGCGGATGCCTGCTCACGCTCCGCCCGTTTCCTTGGTGGCTGTCTGGCGTGTCTCTGTTGGCTTCTGGGTGTTGCTCCCCTACATGCACCCAGTTCACATCGAGGCTCTTCCCGCCCCTCCAAAGCCCCAGGCCCACCTTGCCCAGCCTGGCGTTCCGGTCCTCCAGGAGCAGCAGGTCCTCCTCGAACTTCTTCAGCTTTGCCTCAGTTGTCACCTGCTCCATCTGGAGTTTCTGCCGCGCCCCCTCCTCGGCCTCCAGGTGGGTCTCCAGCTCCTGCGGCAGGAGCAGGGAGGAGGGGCTCAGGTAGGGGCCGGGCATGCTGGGGAGGATGTGGGGGGCACAGGCTCCAGGGCTGGTGGCCTGGTAGGTCCCTTCCCTGGGTGGGACTGGGGGTGCCAGGTGTGACCGGTCCCCCTTTTCACTTGGCGCCTAAGTGATCATTTCTTGAGTGCCTCCTGTGTACCAGGCACTGCTCTAGACCCTGAGGCCCTGAGGACGGAGAGAAGTCCCCATCCTGGGGTGACACCCCTCTGTGTGTTTAGGGGGCGTGCAGATGACTCATGGTAAATACAGTGAGCAGCTCACAGGCAGGAAGGGACTGCTACGTCAGGCAGCGCAGAGCGGAAGTTAGGACTCAGCGACATGTGCGGCCTTGACATCTGGTAAGTGTGGGAGGCCCCAGGTGGCCCAACCTCAGATGAGGTCCCAAGCTGCGGACCCCTCCTGACTGGGACCCGGTGAGGACCCGGTGAGCCCTGAGAGTCAGGATCCAGTCCCTGCCCGAGCGCGGAATCACACAGGACACCGCATCTCCCCCCGACACCAGGTCACGTCTGCCTCCGGTTCCTGCCCAGCCTATCCCAGCCCCACTGCTCACGCCAGGCCTGTGGGCGCCTCTGTGGGCCCTCGCGTGTCCCTCACGCTGTTTGTACTTGATGAGCTGTGGTCTTTCTCATCCATCAGGGGCCACCTGTTCCCCCATCTCCACAGCCCAAGGCACGGTTGGTTCCCCCTCACCCACGGGGCCGAATGCCACGGAGCTCTTGCCACCTGGTCAGTGTGACTGAAGAACCAAGTTTTGTCTTTTACTTTATGTATTTAAAATTTAAGACTAGATAATCACTGAAAAACTTTGAAGTAAGTGTGGGACAACTTGAAAATGTTGAGAATGTGAATTGTGTGTGTGTGTGTGTATTAATGGGTTATACTCACGGCCTCCCCACTGAGTGACATCCCCAGCTCTTTATTTTATTTTTTTTTAAATTTTGAGACAGGGTCTTACCGAGTTATTTAAACTGAGCTCAAACTTGCCATCCTCCTGCCTCAACCTCCCAGAGTGGGAGAGGTTTAGATGTACGCCACCAAGCCTGGCTGTGAAGCTAGTTTCTAAACTGCAGATATGAACTAGAAATAAAGATAAAATAATTCCAAGAAAACCCAGCATCTGATATTGAGATGCGCTTTAAGTGTAAAACACACACTAGATTTTGTAGAGGAACCACGGCTGGACAGCCTGGCTGAGGATACAGCAGCAGAAAGGTAGATGGAGCCAGGGGACAGAGTGGCCAAGACTGCAGACCTCCCTTGAACCCCTGGATCCAGCCATACCTGAAGCTGACACATTTTAGAGTCAGTATTTGAACTAAAAAAAAAGTTCTTAAATCACTTACAGCTAGCTAGGTTTTGTGTAAATTCATGCCCAAAAGGGGCTTGGCCGCACCTGGATGTGCAGCTGCAGCCGCCTCTTCTCGGCCTGCAGCTGGCGGCTGCTCTCCTCCTCTTCGCCCATGCGGGCCTCCATCTCGGTCACCACCAGCTCCAGCTCCTGCTTGCGGCTTGCTAGCCGTCCGCGAGTCTCCTCAGCCTCCGCACACAGCTCGGCCTCTGCACGCAACTGCTCGGCCAAGCGGGCGCGCTCCTCCTCCAGCTGCAGGGCGGCCGGAGGGCAAGGTCAGCGGGCGACGCTCGGGTTGGCTGTCCTCGGTCGGAGGGTCTCTGCCCTGGCTCCTTCTCCCCCCAGCACCCGGTATGCTCCGGTCTAATCCCCTCCCACCTGGACACCATCCTCCAGAAAACCCAATCTCCCATCGCATTTAATGCTCCTATGTCTAGAAATCTAATCAAAATAATTCAGAAAAATGTCTTTACCTTGGGACTTCGCCACACCCCCCACGTCCCGCTTCGCCCCTTACCCCTTGCAGCTAGGCTCCTCTAGGCCCCGCCCACAAAAGCGTCTCCCTATCCCATAGGCCCACCGGAGATCCGCCCCTCTGCTGGCCCCG